CACACACGTGCACATACGCACACACACAATATAAAGGCTGGAGTCGCAAGGTGAGTGAGTGTGAGAGATGCGAACGTGACGGTGACAAGGGCTGGCTTGGGGCGGCCCGGGCCACTCCTGTCCGAGGGGGCGGCCCTGGGCCACACCTGGCCAGGGGGAGGGCCGCCCTGGGCCACACCTGGCGTACTGACCCACCACTGGCACCTGCCTCATGCATCATATCCCTCTTGATGAACCTCATCTGAAAGTATGACACAAATCAGTAGGTCACCAACGACAACTTTATGACTAAAGTATATCAATTTAAGGGTCCGTGGCAGAGTGGTCTACGTATGCATGCGACTCACAATCGAGGATCCCGGTTCGATCCTCGAGAGGAAAATGAACGACTGGGCACCTTCGTTTCCTTTCACCTAGCATAGTTATAGGCAACTGTTGTGGCTGGCATACTGATAAAGGTCAGTAGTTGACCTCAAGGGCCCACGGTAAGCCTAAGCCCTATAGGCTCCATGTCCCGAATAACGGAATTTGAATTGTTTTTGGATTTGAATTTTCCCGCCAAAATATAGCAGTCCCACCACCCTCACCCCAGTCCCACCACCCTCACCCACAGCACCACCCACCCTCACCCCAGCACCACCACCCTCACCCCAGCACCACCACCCTCACCCCAGCACCACCACCCTCACCCCAGCACCACCACCCTCACCCCCAGCACCACCACCCTCACCCCAGCACCACCACCCTCACCCCCAGCACCACCACCCTCACCCCAGCACCACCACCCTCACCCCAGCACCACCACCCTCACCCCAGCACCACCACCCTCACCCCAGCACCACCACCCTCACCCCAGCACCACCACCCTCACCCCAGCGCCACCACCCTCACCCCAGCACCACCACCCTCACCCCAGCACCACCACCCTCACCCCAGCACCACCACCCTCACCCCAGCACCACCACCCTCACCCCAGTACCACCACCCTCACCCCAGCACCACAACCCTCACCCCAGCACCACCACCCTCACCCCAGTACCACCACCCTCACCCCAGTACCACCACCCTCACCCCAGCACCACCACCCTCATCCCAGTACCACCACCCTCACCCCAGCACCACAACCCTCACCCCAGCACCACCACCCTCATCCCAGTACCACCACCCTCATCCCAGTACCACCACCCTCACCCCAGCACCACAACCCTCACCCCAGTACCACCACCCTCATCCCAGTACCACCACCCTCACCCCAGCACCACCACCCTCACCCCAGTACCACCACCCTCACCCCAGCACCACCACCCTCACCCCAGTACCACCACCCTCACCCCAGCACCACAACCCTCACCCCAGCACCACCACCCTCACCCCAGCACCACCACCCTCATCCCAGTACCACCACCCTCACCCCAGCACCACAACCCTCACCCCAGCACCACCACCCTCACCCCAGCACCACCACCCTCACCCCAGCACCACCACCCTCACCCCAGTACCACCACCCTCACCCCAGCACCACAACCCTCACCCCAGCACCACCACCCTCACCCAAGTACCACCACCCTCACCCCAGTACCACCACCCTCACCCCAGCACCACCACCCTCATCCCAGTACCACCACCCTCACCCCAGCACCACAACCCTCACCCCAGCACCACCACCCTCATCCCAGTACCACCACCCTCATCCCAGTACCACCACCCTCACCCCAGCACCACAACCCTCACCCCAGTACCACCACCCTCACCCCAGCACCACAACCCTCACCCCAGCACCACCACCCTCACCCCAGCACCACCACCCTCACCCCAGTACCACCACCCTCACCCCAGCACCACCACCCTCATCCCAGTACCACCACCCTCACCCCAGCACCACAACCCTCACCCCAGCACCACCACCCTCACCCCAGTACCACCACCCTCACCCCAGTACCACCACCCTCACCCCAGCACCACCACCCTCACCCCAGCACCACCACCCTCACCCCAGCACCACCACCCTCACCCCAGCACCACCACCCTCACCCCAGCACCACAACCCTCACCCCAGCACCACAACCCTCACCCCAGTACCACCACCCTCACCCCAGTACCACCACCCTCACCCCAGTACCACCACCCTCACCCCAGCACCACAACCCTCACCCCAGCACCACCACCCTCACCCAAGTACCACCACCCTCACCCCAGTACCACCACCCTCACCCCAGTACCACCACCCTCACCCCAGCACCACAACCCTCACCCCAGCACCACCACCCTCACCCCAGCACCACCACCCTCACCCCAGCACCACCACCCTCACCCCAGCACCACAACCCTCACCCCAGCACCACCACCCTCACCCCAGCGCCACCACCCTCACCCCAGTACCACCACCCTCACCCCAGTACCACCACCCTCACCCCAGTAGGACCAGGGGACACAGGTGGACGCAGGAAACACAGATGCGCCGAAGGAACGTCAGGAAGTACTCCATGTGGACAGTTAACTTGTGGAATGTTGTAGGAGAAGTTGTGGAAGCCGTCTCCACAACATTAGGGCCGAACACGACAACGAATTTAAATGTTGTGATAGTTTATAAGGCGGGAGGATTGGGAGGCCGGATGGCAGGAGTGAGCTAAAAATATTACCTTGGGACTGATAAGTGAGTATACGGCCATGGTCCAGCAGGGTGAAGGTCCAGCAGGGTGAAGGTCCAGCAGGGTGAAGGTCCAGCAGGGTGAAGGTCCAGCAGGGTGAAGGCCCAGCAGGGTGAAGGTCCAGCAGGGTGAAGGTCCAGCAGGGTGAAGGCCCAGCAGGGTGAAGGTCCAGCAGGGTGAAGGTCCAGCAGGGTGAAGGTCCAGCAGGGTGAAGGCCCAGCAGGGTGAAGGCCCAGCAGGGTGAAGGTCCAGCAGGGTGAAGGTCCAGCAGGGTGAAGGTCCAGCAGGGTGAAGGTCCAGCAGGGTGAAGGTCCAGCAGGGTGAAGGTCCAGCAGGGTGAAGGTCCAGCAGGGTGAAGGCCCAGCAGGGTGAAGGCCCAGCAGGGTGAAGGTCCAGCAGGGTGAAGGTCCAGCAGGGTGAAGGTCCAGCAGGGTGAAGGTCCAGCAGGGTGAAGGCCCAGCAGGGTGAAGGTCCAGCAGGGTGAAGGTCCAGCAGGGTGAAGGTCCAGCAGGGTGAAGGTCCAGCAGGGTGAAGGTCCAGCAGGGTGAAGGTCCAGCAGGGTGAAGGCCCAGCAGGGTGAAGGCCCAGCAGGGTGAAGGTCCAGCAGGGTGAAGGCCCAGCAGGGTGAAGGCCCAGCAGGGTGAAGGCCCAGCAGGGTGAAGGTCCAGCAGGGTGAAGGTCCAGCAGGGTGAAGGACCAGCAGGGTGAAGGTCCAGCAGGGTGAAGGAAGGCCCAGCAGGGTGAAGGCCCAGCAGGGTGAAGGCCCAGCAGGGTGAGGGTGTTGTCCTGGCGAGAGAAAACGAGAGTGTGGTGCCCGCGCCCAGTTCAAGGTTGTCTCCCAGTATGGCCATATTGGGCCGCTTGTCGTGCCCGGACCCACCTGTTGGGCCGCTTGTCGTGCCCGTACCCACCTGTTGGGCCGCTTGTCGTGCCCGGACCCACCTGTTGGGCCGCTTGTCGTGCCCGGACCCACCTGTTGGGCCGCTTGTCGTGCCCGTACCCACCTGTTGGGCTGCATGTCGTGCCCGTACCCACTTGTTGGGCCGCTTGTCGTGCCCGTACCCACCTGTTGGGCCGCTTGTCGTACCCGTACCCACCTGTTGGGCCGCTTGTCGTGCCCGTACCCACCTGTTGGGCCGCTTGTCGTGCCCGTACCCACCTGTTGGGCCGCTTGTCGTGCCCGTACCCACCTGTTGGGCCGCTTGTCGTGCCCGTACCCACCTGTTGGTTCCTCCTGGACCTTGCCACCTGCACGGCTCTGTCCTGCACTGGGGCCTGCACGCCACTGTCCTGCACGGGAGCTTGCACGCCACTGTCCTACACGCCACTGTCCTGCACGCGGGCCTGCACGCCACTGTCCTGCACGGGGGCCTGCACGCCACTGTCCTGCACGGGGGCCTGCACGCCACTGTCCTGCACGGGGGCCTGCACGCCACTGTCCTGCACGGGGGCCTGCACGCCACTGTCCTGCACGCCACTGTCCTGCACGCCACTGTCCTGCACGACACTGTCCTGCACGGGGGCCTGCACGCCACTGTCCTGCACGGGGGCCTGCACGCCACTGTCCTGCACGCCACTGTCCTGCACGCCACTGTCCTGCACGGGGGCCTGCACGCCACTGTCCTGCACGGGGGCCTGCACGCCACTGTCCTGCACGGGGGCCTGCACGCCACTGTCCTGCACGGGGTCCTGCACGCCACTGTCCTGCACGCCACTGCTAGGTGTCAGAGCCTTCCAGCTGTCCATTGCTGCTTCAGTGTGCGTTGCGGCATTTTCTGAAGTATTTAACATTTCGTCAGGATTACAATATTTATTATTTGTTTATTTATTTTGTCAATTTAACCGTTGCGGTTGGCAATGATGCTCACGTTGTTGGCAAGGAGCAGACGTTGCCAGAACAACCTGTCGTTGCCAGAACAACCTGTCGTTGCCAGAACAACCTGTCGTTGCCAGAACAACCTGTCCTCTTAAAAATAACGTCGCTTTTGGCCGTTTGTCCGTATGGCCGAAAGTGGACGTAACTTGAAAATGAAAAAAATGAAAATAAAGTTGGGATTTTTTTTTCAACAACAGTAAGTTAAGGGTCCTCTTACAGGTTAGGTGGGCAGGAAATTCTCATTAAGTTTCAAAACGTTATGAAAAACGTTAATTGAAAGTTTCCTCTCCTAACCTTACCGAGTAAGCCGGACGACTCAAACAGAAAACGGGACAGTATGTCAATTTTGTGAGTCGATTTCATTTCAAATTACGTCTAAATTTGGCCATAGCGCGCATACCGGCCAAAAGTGACGATATTTTTAAGAGGACGGGTTGGGTAGGGATAGAAATGGCAACTTGATTGACTAGGGAGATATGCGTATAACCGCCGACAGGTGTGTGTGTGGGGTGCCACACACGGCCCCTGCCACACACCACCAAGCTATCGTCGCCATTCTTCATATTTATCTCTCCCGGGGCTTAATGGCTGTGTGTGAGAGAGAGAGAGAGAGAGAGTTTGGTGGCCTCTTATCTCAGGAGAAACCTCTCATTTTGCGACTCATTCAATCTCCATCGGCGACTTCCACTGGCAGGTCGTCGCCTCATAAACACTAGCCAGACGCTCACTAATCCAGGCCAGCTTCCAGTTTTATGAGTGAAATGCCACTTTACCCACAACTCATGTTCGAATTTTGTCTCGAACGGCGCTTCCCACTTGCTGTGTTCGAAGTTCCCATCTCTAAATTAGTCACTCCAAGTATTGTAAATGACTTCCAACAGAAATATGTAGCGTCTCCTAGGCTTAATTATACACAAAACGTTATGTATAAAGTTTTAGACATAAAACTTGACTTTGTAAAGTATGGGGGTATTACACGCCACCCCCATACTTTATGTATGGGGGTCGTGCGTATTGGTGTTTACCTGACTCACTATGGCAAGAATGTTCTATTAAGATATCTTCGACATGATATCTTCAACAAGATATCTTAATTTAGATATCTTCAACACGATATCTTAATTAAGATATCTTCAACACGATATCTTAATTAAGATATCTGCTACAAGATATCTTAATTAAGATATCTGTTACAAGATATCTTAATGGATATCAGCACTACAAAGACTCTGCAGGTGGTCAAGGTCAGATAGGACATGACCTCCCCTGGAGAGGGAGCAAGGAAGGGGGAAGAGGAGGAGGAGGGAGCAAGGAAGGAGGAGGAGGAGGAAGAGGAATAGGGAATAGGAGTTAAAGGTACATATAGTGAGCATTTTCCTGGGTGTTAAAGTCGCCCCCTTGTACAGGGAGCGACGCCCCCTTGTACAGGGAGCGACGCCCCCTTGTACAGGGAGCGACGCCCCCTTGTACAGGGAGCGACGCCCCCTTGTACAGGGAGTGACGCCCCCTTGTACAGGAAGCGACGCCCCTTGTACAGGGAGCGACGCCCCCTTGTACAGGGAGCGACGCCCCTTGTACAGGGAGCGACGCCCCTTGTACCGGGAGCGACGCCCCTTGTACAGGGAGCGACGCCCCTTGTACAGGGAGCGACGCCCCCTTGTACAGGGAGCGACGCCCCTTGTACAGGGAGCGACGCCCCTTGTACAGGGAGCGACGCCCCCTTGTACAGGGAGCGACGCCCCCTTGTACAGGGAGCGACGCCCCCTTGTACAGGGAGCGACGCCCCCTTGTACAGGGAGCGACGCCCCCTTGTACAGGGAGCGACGCCCCCTTGTACAGGGAGCGACGCCCCTTGTACAGGGAGCGACGCCCCTTGTACAGGGAGCGACGCCCCTTGTACAGGGAGCGACGCCCCTTGTACAGGGAGTGACGCCCCTTGTACAGGGAGCGACGCCCCTTGTACAGGGAGCGACGCCCCCTTGTACAGGGAGTGACGCCCCTTGTACAGGGAGCGACGCCCCCTTGTACAGGGAGCGACGCCCCTTGTACAGGGAGCGACGCCCCCTTGTACAGGGAGCGACGCCCCTTGTACAGGGAGCGACGCCCCTAGTACAGGGAGCGACGCCCCTTGTACAGGGAGCGACGCCCCTTGTACAGGGAGCGACTCCCCTTGTACAGGGAGCGACGCCCCCTTGTACAGGGAGCGACGCCCCCTTGTACAGGGAGCGACGCTCTCTTGTACAGGGAGCGACGCCCCTTGTACAGGGAGCGACGCCCCCTTGTATAGGGAGCGACGCCCCCTTGTACAGGGAGCGACGCTCTCTTGTACAGGGAGCGACGCCCCCTTGTACAGGGAGCGACGCCCCCTTGTACAGGGAGCGACGCCCAACACGACAGGTCGCTGAGTGGGACAGTTGTGTGTACTGTCCAGTAAACAGCGGACTTTATAAAAGGATTAAAATTTGATTTTGCTAAAAAATCTCATGTTAGTTTAAGTTCATTAATTCATTAATATATAGACCGTCCAGCCTGTGGTTGGCTCAGATTTGATTTAGAATATTACGTCGATTACTCTGGTCAAACTTAGTTAATTTAGTAATAATCACTTGTCTGCCTAGTTATAGTTAGTAATTTATGACTTGGTTATAGGTGGTAGACGGAGTGGGCTACCCTCAACATGTGGTCGACAATACAACCCGTGCTCACACTAGGCTGGTTAAAGCAGCGGCCGTCCTCACACTAGGCTGGTTAAAGCAGCGGCTGTGCTCACACTAGGCTGGTTAAAGCAGCGGCCATTGTCCCCAGACAACCCATTCTCACACTAGGATCGTTAAAGCGGCGGCCGTCCTCTCCAGACAACCCGTCCTCACACTTGGCTGGTTAAAGCGGCTGACGTCCTCCCCAGATGCATTCATCATTTTTTACATGCTTTTCATTCAAAACGGGAATTTTCTCAAATATAAATTAATATTATAATATATTAGCATATTGTGCATATATAGGCATAGGTTAGGTTAGGTTAGGTGTTTAGGTTCTGTTGGCGATTATTTGTATTTGTAGTACGTGGGTGAAGCATTTACAGCGTTGTGGTTCCAACAAAATTCGTCAGTGAAGCACTTGTTCCGCAAGTGTTCGAACGTCATCAGTTGTGAGTCGTGTGTAAACCGTTTATCATTCATAATCAGCGGGTTTGGCGGGTGGATGGAATCACTTTTGGGTCATTGTTTGGAGGACGGGCTGGCATTTATAGAGTAGTGGTTCGAACAGCAGCCCGTCCTCCACACAAAGAGGACTTGTGATACTGTGATAGACAAAGAGGAATTATGATACTTATCATATTAAATATATATTTGATTAATTTACTTTGTAATCTGACTTTAATAGTGTTCGCTAGATCTTGGATTTTCTGAGATATTGCAAGCTGGAGTGTGGAGCACTCTGAGCTTACTGGCTTGAAGAGTATGAGTACATGCTTACAGCAGCTACAGTTGATACATGCTAAAGTAACATTTGATAACAACTTAAGAGTAACAGACAAGTTCCATGCGTTGTCTTGTATATACTGAGCTAGAATGGGTGGTGGCAGCCCTTTCTACCTTCCACTTTCTACGCCTCTCCGGGTTCTCAGGCTCTCCCTTTTTCCTCATTCTAAACTTTCCCTTTCACCCCCAACCACTCCTTACTCCTCCCACCTCTCTACCTCTCTCCCACCTCTCTACCTCCCTCCCACCTCTCTACCGCCCTCCCACGTCTCTACCTCCCTCCCACGTCTCTACCTCCCTCCCACCTCTCTACCTCCCTCCCACCTCTCTACCGCCCTCCCACGTCTCTACCTCCCTCCCACGTCTCTACCTCCCTCCCACCTCTCTACCTCCCTCCCACGTCTCTACCTCCCTCCCACGTCTCTACCTCCCTCCCACGTCTCTACCTCCCTCCCACGTCTCTACCTCCCTCCCACGTCTCTACCTCCCTCCCACGTCTCTACCGCCCTCCCACGTCTCTACCTCCCTCCCACCTGTTTACCTCCCTCACCCCAAACCCTCACTGATTACTTCATTATTCATCTCTTTTATATTCCGAGCCGTTACAATGATGACAGCGGTGTTGAACAATGTTTACCGTAGCTGGTGTTAACATTGTTCAGTCCCACGTGTCCTTAGCCGCTCAGGCGCTATCAGGGAGATCTTGACACGTGTTTAACATTTAGCGATTTAGCGAGTTTTTTCAGGTTAGGAGATAGTGATTCTCTAGCGATGTGTTCTCGTGATTTTTGGGAGTTTTTGTGAAGTTTAGAGAATGTTCACCAGAACTTGCATGGTGTGTAGTGAGATTTATGTTAGTGGTAATATCTGGCGATTAACTTAGCAGTTAAGTGGAGGACAGGTGAGTGTGACAGGTGAGTGTGACAGGTGAGTGTGACAGATGAGTGTGACAGGTGACCCACAGGTCCCAGGGGGACACCCAGCCCCAAGAGTGTTGTAACACTTATATGCTCTCCTTACTGTATTAACCTGCAATGTTAAATGGGATTGTTGTATTGTGAGTTGTGTATTTGTACTCACTGAATGTGTGCGCCCCTTGAGGGACTTGAAGTAGAGGGGGGGGGGGGTAGGGTAGAAATAGCCTAAGTTACTCTATCCCTTTCAGATGTATTTATTTCTTGTCTCAATAAACATACTTGAACTTGAGGTGTGGTGTGACAGGTGTGGAGTAGTTATTAAGTAGTTTTAAGTGGTGGTTCTGTTCAGGTTATCGCGGTCGACTGATTTACTCCAATTGAACGGAATGACCCGAGTTGTACTGTATTGTACACCGCACTTATGGGGACCAGTTCCCTCCTACTCCTCCTCCTTCCTCCTCCTCCTCCTCTTCCTCCTCATTCTTCCTCCTTATTCCTCCTCCTCCTCCTCATTCTTCCTCCCTCCTCCTCCTCCTCCTCCTCCTCCTCCTAGAAACTAAGGTGTATTACCGACTCATTTACAGATTAAACTTTTATCTGTTTATAAATTTGAACCAACAATATTCAATTAATTCTTTAAGAGCTAATTAGCTTCATTTAATCTTATAAATAATAAGAAGTAACATGAGACAACTTTAGCTTGGTTGCGGGCCCACACCTGTGGGTGTGGGGCCACGCCGCCCAGCCTGTGGGTGTGGGGCCACGCCGCCCAGCCTGTGGGTGTGGGGCCACGCCGCCCAGCCTGTGGGTGTGGGGCCACGCCGCCCAGCCTGTGGGTGTGGGCCCCACGCCGCCCAGCCAGTGGGTGTGGGCCCCACGCCGCCCAGCCAGTGGGTGTGGGCCCCACGCCGCCCAGCCTGTGGGTGTGGGCCCCACGCCGCCCAGCCTGTGGGTGTGGGCCCACGCCGCCCAGCCAGTGGGTGTGGGCCCCACGCCGCCCAGCCTGTGGGTGTGGGGCCACGCTGCCCCAGCCTGTGGGTGTGGGGCCACGCCGCCCAGCCTGTGGGTGTGGGGCCACGCCGCCCAGCCTGTGGGTGTGGGGCCACGCCGCCCAGCCTGTGGGTGTGGGGCCACGCCGCCCAGCCTGTGGGTGTGGGGCCACGCCGCCCAGCCTGTGGGTGTGGGCCCCACGCCGCCCAGCCAGTGGGTGTGGGCCCACGCCGCCCAGCCAGTGGGTGTGGGCCCACGCCGCCCCAGCCTGTGGGTGTGGGCCCATGCCGCCCAGCCAGTGGGTGTGGGCCCACGCCGCCCAGCCAGTGGGTGTGGGCCCCACGCCGCCCAGCCTGTGGGTGTGGGCCCCACGCCGCCCAGCCTGTGGGTGTGGGCGTCGCTTCACTAGCACTACCCACTTAGAAATTACCTATTAATTTCCCAAATGTGAACAGAAACTCCACCGACCTACCCAATCCCGCCCACTTACTCCACCCCCCCCCCACCCCTCCCCCACACTGTGGTGGAGGAGTGGGCGAGGCCCCACCAACACGTCCACAGTGAGTGACCACCACCACCCACCACCTCGCTTCATGTGCTATAAATTACCTACCACCATTATCAACCATTTTTTCCCTCTGGTGGCCAGTCTTGACTCGTTTGGTCGACAGAAGCTCAGATGCTGGAATCGATTATTCTGATAAAAATTAAGAGGTATTAACCCCCGGATTTAAAATGCTCACGAGATTGGAAGGTGGCCCGTGATTGGAAGGGTATTCAGGCAGTTGATGGGCTGATCATTACTACCACTTCAGTGTCAAGATTCTTTTATCGTTGAGATTTATAAATATATTTGTCGGATGTGGAAGATATTGAACGATACAACACGGGGAAAAATGGGCGCGAGCGTGGACATGGACGCCTGAGGCCCGGCCGACTGACGGTATCTATATTGTGTAAACAATTTTGAGTCGCCGTGACGGAAGATAAACAAATAGATGCTTTGTTAGGGCTGTGGCGACGCTTTGTTTGTTTGTTAAATATTCTTAGTGTTGGTTGAGCTGTTGGGGTGATTTGTTATACACTCTGGGTGTTGGGGTGAGTTATACACTCTGGGTGTTGGGGTGAGTTGTTATACACTCTGGGTGCTGGAGGTGAGTTATACACTCTGGGTGTTGGGGTGAGTTGTTATACACTCTGGGTGCTGGAGGTGAGTTATACACTCTGGGTGTTGGGGTGAGTTATACTCTCTGGGTGCTGGGTGAGTTGTTATACACTCTGGGTGTTGGGGTGAGTTATACACTCTGGGTGTTGGGGTGAGTTATACACTCTGGGTGTTGGGGTGAGTTATACACTCTGGGTGTTGGGGTGAATTGTTATACACTCTGGGTGTTGGAGTGAGTTGTTATACACTCTGGGTGCCGGGGTGAGTTGTTATACACTCTGGGTGCCGGGGTGAGTTGTTATACACTCTGGGTGCCGGGGTGAGTTATACACTCTGGGTGTTGGAGTGAGTTGTTATACACTCTGGGTGTTGGGGTGAGTTATACACTCTGGGTGTTGGGGTGAGTTATACACTCTGGGTGCTGGCGTGAGTTATACACTCTGGGTGCTGGGGTGAGTTGTTATACACTCTGGGTGTTGGGGTGAATTGTTATACACTCTGGGTGCTGGCGTGAGTTATACACTCTGGGTGCTGGGGTGAGTTGTTATACACTCTGGGTGTTGGGGTGAATTGTTATACACTCTGGGTGCTGGGTGAGTTGTTATACACTCTGGGTGCCGGGGTGAGTTATACACTCTGGGTGCTGGCGTGAGTTATACACTCTGGGTGTTGGGGTGAGTTGTTATACACTCTGGGTGCCGGGGTGAGTTATACACTCTGGGTGCTGGGTGAGTTGTTATACACTCTGGGTGCCGGGGTGAGTTATACACTCTGGGTGCTGGGTGAGTGGTTATACACTCTGGGTGCCGGGGTGAGTCATACACTCTGGGTGCCGGGGTGAGTCATACACTCTGGGTGTCTGGGTGAGTCATACACTCTGGGTGTCGGGGTGAGTCATACACTCTGGGTGCCGGGGTGAGTCATACACTCTGGGTGCCGGGGTGAGTTATACACTCTGGGTGCCGGGGTGAGTCATACACTCTGGGTGCCGGGGTGAGTTGTTATACACTCTGGGTGCCGGGGTGAGTTATACACTCTGGGTGTCGGGGTGAGTCATACACTCTGGGTGCCGGGGTGAGTCATACACTCTGGGTGCCGGGGTGAGTCATACACTCTGGGTGCCGGGGTGAGTTGTTATACACTCTGGGTGCCGGGGTGAGTCATACACTCTGGGTGCCGGGGTGAGTCATACACTCTGGGTGTCTGGGTGAGTCATACACTCTGGGTGTCGGGGTGAGTCATACACTCTGGGTGCCGGGGTGTCATACACTCTGGGTGCCGGGGTGAGTCATACACTCTGGGTGCCGGGGTGAGTCATACACTCTGGGTGCTGGGGTGAGTCATACACTCTGGGTGCCGGGGTGAGTCATACACTCTGGGTGCCGGGGTGAGTTATACACTCTGGGTGCCGGGGTGAGTCATACACTCTGGGTGCCGGGGTGTCATACACTCTGGGTGCCGGGGTGTCATACACTCTGGGTGCCGGGGTGAGTTGATAAGTCAACCTGTCCTCCTACAAAGAACGTCGCATTTCGATCGTATGCGTTACAAAAGGCCAAAAATTGTCGTACTAGAAAATGGAAGCAGCTGGCGAAAGTGACGTGGTGTCCCGTTTTCTGTTTTGGGTCCTCTGGTAGGTTAGGAGAGGGCACGTTAAATTGACCGCTTTCTTGACGTTGGGATACTTTAGGAGGACTGGTTGGGACGTCTTGGTGTGTTTGGGTGCCCGTGTTGTGCCTGTTCTGTCGACTCACCGGCCTCCGAGATCAAGGCGCCTGTTGTGTGCTCGGTCGAGGCAGTTGACAACCAATACTTCAAGATCAAATCAGCGTCAGCCCCTCGCCCTGCACCTGCACCCATGATACCTAGTACATGGCCCAGTGCGTGTATATATATATATATATATATATATATATATATATATATATATATATATATATATATATATATATATATATATATATATGTCGTACCTAATAGCCAGAACGCACTTCTCAGCCTACTATGCAAGGCCCGACTTGCCTAATAAGCCAAGTTTTCATGAATTAATTGTTTTTCGGCTACCTAACCTACCTAACCTAACCTAACCTAACCTAACCTATAAAGATTGGTTAGGTTAGGTTAAGTAGGGTTGGTTAGGTTCGGTCATATATCTACGTTAATTTTTACTCCAATAAAAAAAAGTTGACCTCATACATAATGAAATGGGTAGCTTTATCATTTCAAAAGAAAAAAATTAGAGAAAAAATATTAATTCAGGAAAACTTGGCTTATTAGGCAAATTGGGCCTTGCATAGAAGGCCAAAAAGTGCGTTCTGGCTATTAGGTTCGACATATATATATATATATATATATATATATATATACACACACACGAAAGGGGTACCACCTCTGGTGCAATTGTAGGGACCCATGGCCTCAAAGAAGGGAACACAGAGCATTCAGAGAAAAACTTGCCATTTAACTCTGAATACGTATGAGTGTTCGCTTCTCCTACCACCCCCCCTTTTTTATGGTGTACACTTTATTATACAAGGTTATACAGTTACATATGTGATTGTTTACAAAAAGATAACATTAAGAGGAAATAAAGGAAAGTTTGTTTCCTAGAGGTTGCAGATTTCTTCGAACTCCTCCGACGCCGGGCAGGAACCGAGGACGCAGCGGGCATTCCCCCTCTGGATCGCCACACTGAGGCGCTGAAAGAGAAAACTTGCCGCTCTAGGGTCTCTTGTGGTGTCAATGAGCTTGGAACCAAGATCCTTAAGAAACTTTGCACTCTCTCCCCATGGGCCTAGGGTCTCAGAACCTATTGGAACGAAGTTGTACCGGTGATCTATTTCCCGGTGATCTATTTCCCGGTGATCTATTTCCCGGTGATCTATTTCCCGGTGATCTATTTCCCTGTACTTGGTTGACTTGTGTCTTTCTGTGCGTGTGGCCGCGGCTCCTGCTGTGCCGGCAGAGGTTGATGTATGTGGTGGCCAGGGCGGATACACAAGTATAGTCCCACGCCAACTGTCTGCCACCCTTCCACGGACGCAGTGTGATTCCGTCTGGTCGACCAGCAAAGCTAACAGAGTTGTGGTTCAATAGATTGCGGGGCTCTCTCTCTCTCTGCTGGACACTGGGCAGAGGTACAGCTCTGACACCATGGTGTCAAGTACCATGGTGTCAAATACCATGGTGTCAAGTACCATGGTGTCAAGCACCATGGTGTCAATCACCACGGTGTCAAGCACCATGGTGTCAAGCACCACGGTGTCAAGCACCACGGTGTCAAGCACCACGGTGTCAAGCACCACGGTGTCAAGCACCACGGTGTCAAGCACCACGGTGTCAAGTACCATGGTGTCAAGTACCATGGTGTCAAGCACCATGGTGTCAAGTACCATGGTGTCAAGCAGCATGTCGACTGTCAACTGATCTAGGAGTCATGATTAGGTTCGGTTAGTTTCCGTAGGAATTTAAAACAAAAAACCTGCATTAGTACACAAAACAGAGGGAATATCGTACCAGGATTATACCAGGGAATATCGTACCAGGATTATACCAGGGAATATCGTACCATGATTATACCAGGGAATATCGTACCAGGATTATACCAGGGAATATCGTACCAGGATTATACCAGGGAATATCGTACCAGGATTATACCAGGGAATATCGTACCAGGATTATACCAGGGAATATCGTACCAGGATTATACCAGGGAATATCGTACCAGGATTATACCAGGGAATATCGTACCAGGATTATACCAGGGAATATCGTACCAGGATTATACCAGGGAATATCGTACCAGGATTATACCAGGGAATATCGTACCAGGATTATACCAGGGAATATCGTACCAGGATTATACCAGGGAATATCGTACCAGGATTATACCAGGGAATATCGTACCAGGATTATACCAGGGAATATCGTACCAGGATTATACCAGGGAATATCGTACCAGGATTATACCAGGGAATATCGTACCAGGATTATACCAGGGAATATCGTACCAGGATTAATATCCACAGTCGCTGGCAAAAGGTCTAACTTCAAATCAAATATTTAAAGTAGAGTAATTTAGATTTTTATTTTGAGGCCATTGTGAGTATCAGTTTGATTGGCAAGAGTGAATAGAGAAGCACTTAGCAGGTCTTTGAAGGGTGCTGGCGGTCTGTAGGACCACGCCAGAGCCAGTTAATAAGACCTTTCTCGACCCTTGAAGCCCAATCAGTTCCCCTAGACCT